CACACACACACACACACACACATAAATAAATAAAATTTTAAAAAAATTATTTTGTTTTCTGTGACAATCCTTGTGATTTTTGGTTGTAGGCAGCTGTATCACTAGTATCAAGGCCTCTCCTGGAATAGTCTGTACTTCAGGGATATGTTCTGTGAGTAGGAGATTCTCGGTGCGTGTCTGCCCCGAGACCCTACCTTCCAAATTAATTAAGAGTGGGATGTTGGCTTCTGTTTGGCTCAGTCCCCAGAATTTTGGTATAGGGCTGTGATTATTACACCAGAGCATCCCAATATTGTTACACAAAGGAGAACAACTGATTGCAACAGGCATGACATCCTTGCTGCAGTGGTATAATTAGCAGTAAGTACAATTTGACAAATTGTGGCAACTATTGATTGTATACTTTATACAGTAGGAGCAAAGTCTATAGTTATATAACAGAGCTGACTATAAATTAGGAGTTTGTATGCAAAATGTTTCCCCTTATTAGAGTGGATTTACCCTGGGTTCCTCTGGACGAGCAGATTGCTGTGTCCTGGGTGCCTTCGGTGCTGGTTTCCTGACCCATAGTGTGGCAGTATGGGCTGGGCAAGAGGGTTCCTCCAGATCAAGGTTTCTTGGACGGTGGTTGGGGTTTCTCCCCTCCTGTGGGGCTCACCAAGCCTCCTTAGGCTTAGGAAGCCAAGAAATTGTCTTTAACAATCTCCTTTTATGGTGATATCAGTGAGTCCCATATCAATACATAGAAGCCCTATAGTTTTGTTTTTTGGCAGAACCAGGGATTGAACTCAGGCCCTTGCGCTTGCCAGGGAAGCGCTTATTCCACTGAGCCATCTCCCGGGTCCCCCTATAGTTTTTCTACTGAGGGCCGCTCTGTCATTAAAACCCCTGGTAACCCATGTCCTAGTTGCTAGGGCCACCGGCCACCCCAATTTCACTGCACCCATTTCTCCACCAGCAGTTGATCCCAGAAGTATGGGGGTGCCCTGGGGAGGTCTGTTGAGGCAGTGGTCTTTTCAAAGGATGATATTAGCAGAACAAGGTATATCATAGTCACCCTAACTCAGGTCACTGAAGCAAGAGGACACACTCCTGGGACCTCACCCCAAAAGGCAGAACTCAGTGCCCTCACTTAGACTCTCCAAATTGCCTAGAGCATGAGGGTCGATATGTACACTGACTCCAAGTGTGCCTTCCTGCTATCAGATGCACCCACCGCCACCTAAAGGGGAACTTCTGACCACCCACCAGTTACCAACAAACATGGACCAGAGCATCTCAGTCTCTTTTAGGCAGTAAATCTCCCAAGCAAGGTAATAATTGCTCATTGCTGGGAACCTCAATGGACTATGGTTAGACACTGGATCATGTCTCTGAGTATCATTCAATGACAGATTTAGCTGCCAAACAGGCTTCCCTCCCAAGTACCACTGGCCCATCAGTAACTTTCCCATGTCAAGACCTTGGATACAGGGTGCTCTATGGAAGTTTCAGGTGATTCATGATGAGGGAAGAGTCCAAAGGGACCATGTGGGGCTCTGGCTTTCTCACCACAGTGAGCACAGTGGAAAGTTCTTAGGTCTACAAATGGTGCCTTCTACCTGGGGCAGGATGTTACTTCCGCTATGGCGTAGGAACTCCTTCTAGGGCCCCAAGTCTGTAAGGTCAGGTCTGTAAGCTGTGTCCTGTCTGTGACCTCTGTAATCCACAGACACATCCACCCCAATTGCCTGAACCAGTTCTGAAACAGCATGAGATAATTTCCACAAGAGATTAATGTGGAAAAAACAGAATTTAATCCAATTAGGCCAGCCACCAAACACCTCCCAACTCTCCTGCTAGGAAATGTTCAGTGTTGTTTTTTCTGTCTTAGCTCAAGTACCTTTCTGGTTTCTAGGGCCACCACCATGGTCTGTTACCATGGTGACTTGGAGGCCAGTCATGGAGATTTATGATAACACAGGATATAACACACTTTTTTGCACTTACTTTTGTTTACTCTCTTTCATTGCTTTTATGTTTACAGTATCTTAACAAGGATGGGGAAGAAGTGAGATGATCCAGATGTCTCTTATCTCTAGGATAGGCTACAGCCAGTCCAGGTATCTCTTCTCTCTAAAATGAGTTAGAGGCTGGACTGGAACTACTTTGGTCAGCATAAAATTAACACATTGACAGCCGCCAGCCCCTACAGTACAATGGCTAGAAAGACTGGCAAATAGATTTCATTCACATGCCTCTGTGAATGCTAATGTCATCCTTTAAGGGTATTTCAGGGGATATCACAGAGAAATGTGTTCAATGATCTAAAGTGAGCCTGGGGAGAGTCACATGGAGGGAAAAATCATTTTCTCAAGCTTTCATAGAGAGCAAATTGGTCAAGCAATGGCCGTGACTCATCCTCATGTCTGACACTGACAAAAGGATGTACAAAGGGTGGTACAGGGCTACAGGATAAATCCTGAGAGTACTTGGCTGACCTTATCAGATACAAAAGCTACATTTCTTGGTATATAGGTCTTGCTTTATCTTGGTCTTAACCATCCAGCAGAAAAGTATAAAAACGAGGTATATAAAGTAAATCCATATTAATATGATGAGCTGTAAAAGGCTCAAGTTAATAACTTCTGAGGATAACCAACTAATATTATAGACTGCTAGACACTGTTAGATTGTTTAGTTGAATTCAAATACCTATAGTATTTAGATGTCAATAGAATATTCACCTCTGACAGGACAAAAAAAATTAAAATTAAAATTAAAAGAAAGATACAAAGGAAAGATCATTTTGTATTTATATATACAAAATAGTTAGGATAAATTTACAGCTACTTTCGCTTAACTCAATGAGAAGAAAGAGGTGTACTAACAGTGTTTGGACAGAATATCCTGTCTGCTTCTTGTACTATGGATAACCACTAAGAAGATAACAATGTACAGTGTATTGACTATCAAAACGGTCCTATTAATCAGCTGTGAAACTGTCTCATTCATATTTATTTCTCAATAAAAAAATAAATACATAAAAAAAGTTCCTGAGTTCAATCCCCAGTACCACAAAATAAATAAATAAATAGATAAATTAATAGCAGGACCCTATAAACTTCTGTGGTCTTCTCAGTATGGGCAGGAAATGGGAGGTTGGGGCCCGTGACACAGGCGCTGAAGCCTGAGCTGGCTGTGGGGCTGCAGGTGCTGGCGCAGCAGCTTTAGCTCACAGAACATACAATGGGGCAGATTTTAATTAATTCCCATCTCTCACTCCCCGCATGTGTGTTGTGTGTCCTCGAGTGATGGCACAACAGACACAGGGTGGTGCCCCTCAGAGAGACCATTCAGATGCCCACCTGGCCATGAGCCTCACAGGGACTCAGGCATGACTTAGCTAAGGGGGTGCCAGGCTTCCATTATTCCGTATGTCGATCTCTTATCAGAACAAGTAAGTCTGGATCACATAATAT